GATTTCTAACTGCATTTTATATTTATTTATTTATTTATTTACATGCTAGAGCCTGAGACATTCCCATTTGGGGTGTGAACAAATAGATGAGTTCCCTACTTCTATTTCTCTGTACTTATAATATATAGGTAGTCCTTGACTTATGGCCAAAATGGGAACCAGAATTTTTGTTGCCAAGCAAAGTGGTGATTAACTGGCTTGACCCTGCTTGTTGGAAGCTGGCAGGGAAGGTTGCAAAGGGCAGTCACATGACCCTGGCATACTGTCATCAATTTATGCTGGTTTCCAAGCACTTGAATTCTGATTATATGACCGTGGGGATACTGTGTCATAAGTCCAAAGACTGGTTGTAAGTCACTTTTTTCAGTGCCACCATAACTTTGAATGGTTACTAAGCAAATGGTTATAAGTTAAGCACTACCTGCAATGTGGCTTGTCTTCTACTTTATGTAGCACATGTCCATGAATTCGTGTCATAATAAATTTGGTAGTTTTTAAAGTATTCCCCAGAATCTTTGCTTCAGTTCCAATATTCTAATAGCTTTGTAAACAGATTCTCAAAGAGCCCCTGCATTATAAGCCTTATTGAAAAGGAATAATCAAGTATCTAATATCTAAATATCTTACATAAAGGAAGGTGAACATTTTTACTTTTTGAGCAATAAGAGACCAGAATTTTTAACAGTGCCAACTATTATGTCTCGAAATAAATTCTATAAAACAAAGAAATACGCAAATTGATTAAGATGGCATTTTAACCTCTTGTCTTTTTAAACGACTCCCTTTAAAATGTAACAATATTAGACAAAGGAAAGCCAATATTTTTGAATCTGTGTTTGTAATTTTAGATATGGACTTACACATCAGAAGCAAGCATACAATGGGCAGGGACACTTTGGGAATTTGAATGACATGCTTGGAAAAGCAAATGCTTCAGTTTAAATCTGCAAACAGGACCATTGCCTGTCTCAAGTCTGAGTTGTTTTCCCTCTACAACTCAACAGAGCATCCTGAAATGGAGTACACACTTGAGCCAATAATAGGCATTCAGTAGTCCTGGCAAAGTAATGAAACTGAAATAAGCAATGACATCTGTTGAAAAGGTTCACTGAGGGCTACGAGAGCTCATGCTTTCACTCTCTCTTGCCTTTGGCTTCAAAGTTCATCATTTTGTGTTGGTCAAGAAGCACCCAATGCTTTGGCTAAAAGTCTCTGGAAGCACTCTAGAACTCACAAAAAACTTTACCTTTTTCAGGCATTTAAACTGTGCCCCAAAGATCGGCCCTTTTCAGCTTAAATGGCAGAATGCTTACTCAACTTATGAGAAATACAAAATGACTGCTGATGTCTAAATGGATGTATGGTAGGAGAATAAAATAAAAACAATAACAAGGGTATCTAACCTGGATTGCTCAACACTTTTTAATCTCAAAATTGCTTACTCAAATTCCTTTTGTTATTCTCGGGGAAAGAGACGAAAGCCATATATGAAATTCCTTTGCAAAAAAGAAAGCAAACCAAATTAGTGACTTAGTTTAGGCTAGATTAATATATATAGTTCAAAATTAATTTTAAGTTTGTCAGATAGTTTAAATCACCAAGGAAAAATAAAGGTAAGTATTTAGACTATTCTTTATATCACATATTTTCCTAATGAAATTAATATTTCAAAAATTGCAACAGAGAACTGGATGGTATTAACTGGAAAAAACTAATAAAAGATATACAAGTATGGTAAAAAATGAAACAAATTGTTCTTCATTATAACCCTTTGACGAAATAGGCTCTATAACGTTTATATTAACATCCTATATTAAAAACAATCATGGGGAAAAACATCAGAAGTAGTGCTTAGAGATGCAGCAGATGTGCAATGATTTACTGTTAGAATATCACAAATAGTGTGGATGAAAAAATTCCTTTCTCAAGCACGAACCTATTTTGTGTTCCTTCCCACAAGGTATGGGTATTCATGATTACAACAGCTTTTGAGGAACAATGCAGAATTATCATTTATGCATTTTATGTTGTTTATTCAATTAAAATAAATGTGACTACTGAGCAGAATAACTTTCTACTTTCAAATGTGATAACAAAGGTAGCATGAATTATTCTTTGTTATTTAACACAAAATACATGCTTTTAATATTGTTCTCTGTGAACTTAAAATGCAATTAACGTATCTTTCATTTTTAAAAAATTCTTCACTTATTGTACAATTTATACACTAAGAGTGCAATTGTTTAATTTGCACACTATTTTCCTTCCCCTGCATCACATTATGGGTGGGGCGGAGGTGGAATTACAGTGAAACAATGAGCCTGACATTAGAAAAATAAATTGTCTTTGATTTGCTAAGCAATGGAATTCTGACACCATTTTATTCATTTTTGGAAATTTGTTCTTACAAAATGGCAGATAATGTACCTCATCATGCAATATTTTCTTATTCAAAATATTGATAAAGAGAAGTACTTTTTCAATAAACACTTTTCAACTGATCATTTGCTAGCAGTATAATTTTAAGGAAGAGAGCATCCCTTCCATAACTGTGCAAAATTAACTAAGAGCAAAATGTCTATGATACACCATATTTGGGAAACATAATATTATAAATTATGTTTTTTAACTTTTAAACTTGGGTCATTGAACTATATAGATGNTATAGATGTGAGACACAGTGAAATAATAGCCACACCTTACAATCACTGTCAATATATTCTGATACATCTAATACCAAACAGATCTAAAGTGGAACTGAACTACTTTCAGAGACTTTTCTTTGCACCAATATTCCCTTCTGCTTTCTTTTTAATTAGCTGCTTCTCACATTTTTAAAAAATCTACACAATTCTTAAAAAAACATCTCACGTTTCCTGTTTTTGGGAAGTAGGGAGAGACATCTGTCCAAAGAAAGTTTATAGAATAAGACCCACCTCTTCCCTGACCCTTTGGATATTTGAAATATAAAAAGGAAGCAGCCAGGCAAACTGGGCCCATTCAGGCTAATGGACTCTAGGCAATTTACTTTTCAAAATAAGGCTTCCTTTTCTGCTAAACCCTTTTGGAGTACAGCACTCTGGGGCAGCTGAGAAGGTATTTAAGTGCCACTAATCAAATTTTCCCTTGGCCCTGAATATTGCTACCTTGAGAAATCAGTTTGAGAAGTGTGAGAAATGGAGCTCAATGGTGTGGTGTTTTTTCCACCAAAAAAATGTCTAAACTTGTTCTTTAAGGCTGATTTAGGGACTGCACAGCAATTTAGGTGGATACCTCAAATCTTGCCTTGAAAAGCTTGATTTAAGTTTATTTAAGATAAACTTTCTTTGGACAGATGCCTCTTTCTACTTCCCAAAAACAGATTCAAGCCTGTAAAACTGCTCACCATGAAAGCTGGCTATGTCCCTCTCTCCCCCAGAACAGTTCAGTGTAACTCAAAAGGTAAACGTTAATAAGAAAATTTAATTCCATGAATAGCTCTACAATAAAAAGCAAGCTTGAATGAAATACGGTAGGGCTACAACTTTCTGTAAATGTGTTATTGCATGAATCTAGGCCAAAGTCCAAAGAAAACTGGTAGCCACAGTGTAGGTATGCTATGACTCGAAGAATAAAAGCAAAATGCTTTTAGAAAGACAGTAAATAATAGACAGAACTCAACGAGGTGACTTTTAAAGTTATTTAAAGTGGGCCATAAGAGGTTGAAAAATAGTACTAGAATAAAATTATTTCACTCAGAATATTGTCATGTTAGGTGCTATGTTGTATGCACATATGTATGTATTGTATGAATCTGCCCACCTGCATAGCAATTGGGTTCATGCTATGGCAAGTGTTTATACTAGTTTCAATTTAAGCAAATGTCCCCAGCTATTTTCAAGATAATGACCCAGAGGTTGTAATAGTCATGCACAATTATGTACAGTTCTACATATGTTCTGTATCATTAGTGTTCAACCTTTTAGCTTGCCTGGGCTGCACTGAGTGAAGAGGAATTGTCCTGGGCTGCATATAAAATATATAATAAAGTTAATGTATATAAATAATGACCTTCCTTTATTTTTTAATGTTTTTATTACATCTTCTGGGGCGCATTACTAGCTGTCCAGGGCTGTGGGTTGGACACGCCTGTTCTATATGATTCTTTTTGTTGGGTGATTTCCAGGAGCGCTGGATTACAACTTCTAAGATTCCTAGTCAGAACAGCCAAAGACTTATAAGCTTTTGGGATAAGAATGAATCATATTCTAGAATAACTAATGAAAAAAGAGGAAATGAACTGGATCCTTTCATCAAACTCTTATATGGCCAATCAGATATAGGCAACCTAATGTCAATACTAAAGTAGATCATTTTGGCTGTGACAATAACCAAGGCATAGAAATCAAGCAAATGAATCCAGGTTTTAGCTTTTCTACTTAAAAATATGTCTAAACCTGCATACAATGTGTTTAAGATAAATTACAAAGATTAGACAAAAATGTATTTCCAGCAAGCATCAAAAGCATTCATTAAGGAAAAATATACATAAATACTATATTTAACTGACAAATTGCATAAAATATACCATAAGAATGACAGCCAGCCACACAAATGCACACAAAAGAGGCTACATCCAACCACCCATAAGCATATGCAAGAGATTTCATCTTTGCTCTCCTCCGTCCATGCCATAACTCCCTCCAGTTCTGCTGTTTTTATATTTCTAATTCTCACATGCATTTTAGCTTGGTGAAAATAAACCATAAATCACCTGTCCAAGGTAGAACTTTCCTTACCCTGTAAATTTGCTAACTGAAAATACATTTAATTAGTATCACGCTAATCAGGAACATAATTGTTGATTTCTTACATTTCTTAAAACACTTTCTTGATTAAAATTTTCCCAAACCTATGTCATTCATTATGAAGAAAAATTAAACTTCTAATTTGGAAGTATGAAAAATAAAAGATTTGTTCTTTCAGGTTTTTTTTAAAAAGAGTCTTAAGGAAGGGGAAAAAATCATGCATTAACTCTAATCTTAGAGCACATATACTGATAGATAAAAGCAGTTACTTCAAGCTGATTATGCTTGCAGAGTTCATGGTTAGAAACCACTGGCTGCCAAATTACCAGATTAAACACAGCTACTGACATTTTTAACTCCAAAAAGAAGAATGTATTGTAGGAATGGAAACACAAAGTATATTATGAACTACAGACTATTGCACATTTGAACATAATACAAGTGTAAAATATAAAGTATGAAAGATAATACACTCTGTTACACAGAAACATACAAATGATTTGTGCATACAATTCAAACCATGAACAGCGGATGCCACCAGAGTCCACTGGCTTAGCTGTTTAGTGACCTTTAGAAACCGGTCCAGACTGATTATCAGCAATACATTTTCTTGTTTTTGATTTTAAAAAAAAAATTTTTTTTGAGACCACAGTATTTGATACATACATATATAATTCCGTGGTCAAGGATGAACAGATGTAGTTTTGCAATTCTAAATAAAAAGTGCAAAAATGTAAAAAAAAAGAAAGAAAAGAACAAAATTAAAGTTATGGAAGCGTAAGCTAAAAATTGTCTGCATAGCTGAAATCTATTTAAAGCAAGTCCTTGGTAAGGAGTACTGACAGAAGAAAGCAGGAAGGTTTTTTTTAAATATAAAATGTCTTCTGCATGTTCATTAACAGAATGCAAAAATGTCAGTTGTGTAAGCTTTTAAACAATTCACAGACAGTTCACTCCTGCATCTTTAGACACCATAGTTGTTGCGGTACCTCCTTCTCCAAGGTAAACAGCTGTGCTGGATTTAGAACTAACCACCCTGTCACCCCCGTTATTGTTAATCTCACAATCCAGGGGTTCTGTGGAGATGACCCATGTTGAAGGGCGCCATCTCTTTAGGGAATAAGGCGTTTTCACACGTTTCTTGATCTTTTCTCCTGAGCCGGATTTCCCCTCAAGAGATGATTCACCCACTAAAAAGGAAGAATAGACAATAAGAATAGACATAAGAGCAGTAAAACAATAAAAAGAGCAAAATCTGTGATACGTAGTAGAGGATAAATATTCTTTAATCATATACTGTACTCAGTCAAAGTACAATAATTAAAATGAAAGATTAAGTAATTTACTACCTAGTTTATATTATTATTATTACTATTACTATTATTACTATTATTATTATTATTATAGATTTAATCTTCAATTCAATTCACAGTCTGGGACTGGTAAAAACTTAACAGTTCAAGTCCTAATCAAGGACTTAAGAGCTGTTAAGGTAGTGTCTGAGTATATAGGCAGTTCTGAGTATTATTGTTGTTGTTGTTATGTTTGCATTATTGTCACAACTAAAAAATTTTAAGGCATTATTTTTGACTTATTCTTGAATGGCAGATCTCAGCAGAATAAACAGGATATTTAAAGTATAGTTCATGCTAGACTGCAAATGAGAATGCACTATTACTATGAAAACCATTCAAAACAACAGAATACCAAAGAATATCAAATACTTTGACCATAACTTCCCAGGATATAATTTATTTGTGTAGGAATTGTTTTAAATGGAGAAGCATCAAACATTCAATTATTAAAAAATTTTGAAAAGCACCAAAACAATTGTTACTATTTTGCTCTAAAAATAGTATAATCTATGAAAGTTTTCTGTTGAAATATTTATTGCTGCATGTCTAAACTGACTAGTTAAACTCTTAGCTCTGCTTCTGAAAACTACCACAGTAAGGAGACTGATATGCCATGAAAAAACTAAAATACACAAAAACGTTCTAAATCATAATGTTTGAAATTTGATTTCTCTGATGTTTGAAATTTCAAACATAAAGTTCTAAAATATATTGAATGCATAGTTGGTATGAAGGCTTCATTGAACTAAAGGTTGTATTCAATTAACAACTGCCTTGTACAATGACTGTTTTCAGTTATGACAGTGATGTAGAAACAACTTTGTGATCAATGCCCACATTTACAACCTCACATATCTGTAAAGCAAAGGAAAGTTGAAGTAAGATCATAAGTGCCATCACTGTTTCATTTAGTGATCGCTTCATTTAACAAATGAGTTATCAATCCCAATTGTGGTCGCTAAATGAGGACTATCTGTAGTATGACAAAGGAATTACCCAGCTCCTACTGAACTATATTGGGAAGAAGGCTCCTTCTTTAATTAAATCTTAAACCAAATAATGCAATGTTTTATACAAATCTGATACTTGATAATCTGATACAAGATAATAAGCTTGTTATTTTATATAGATAAAAATAAATTATTCTGGTGGTATTCAACTAAAACTGAGGATATGTACATGCATATGTATATCTGTTCTTCCATTATGCAGCTTATTACAGGATAACTAGCTTTCTCAAATGTAAAAGAATTACTGCTCAGAGTGATTTAGAATATATCATAGTGAATTGGTAATGAGCCATTTATCAGGCAATGGAAGGTTTACTCAAGCCTTGAAAGCATTCTGTTTCATGCAACTTGAAAATACTGATACGAGATTTCCCTTCTAATTCTTTGCCTTTCAAATGACTCTATTATAACATTGGGAATGTATAACAAGCCAAAGATCAAATGTTTGGGGGGAAAAATCAGTTTTGCTAAAGCACGTTCTTGAAGCCACAGCTTTCTTAGGGGAAAAAAAGGCTGCACAAATTATTTTTAGATCCCATAAGCATAAGCACATATTTATGCTTACAAGATGAAAGGATACGCTTCACTGGAAAGAACAAAGGTAATTTAACTGAGCTATGAGGCAGGCAGCAATGGAACAAATACAGAAATGGACATATACTTTGTTTCGGGGGGGAGGGAGGATGCAAACAACAACTTTGTCACTTAAAATCAACATGCTTAATTCTGAAAGTAATTTTGCCAGGATTCACTGACGTATCCCAGCAGAACTCACACTGAATATTACACCCATCCAAAATATTTGTGGCAGAAAGATCCAGGGAGTTAGGCCTCTGTGCTCTTTTAGTGTGGGTCGGTCCAGAATTTGGTGCCGTTCTCTGGCTGCTTTGGGTAGAAACACCTTGCTCTAGACACAGGTTACTATTGTTGTTGTTGGTATTTGTCCGGCCATTATCCAGTGACCGTTCTCTTCTATCTACCAGTCGATCGAGAATGCCCTCATCATGGCTTACTTGCTGCTCCCTTCTTAATAATGGCTCGTGTTCATCAGGACTTGAATTGATATTCAGACGACTATCTTCTCCACTGAACTGATGCTGCAACATTTCTTGGGCTCTGTGTGTTCCTGAGCTAGTGCTTTGGCCTGATGGCACTGTCCCATTAACATACTGTGTTGACACAGCATGAGAGTTTGTTGTATGGCTCCTCCCTGCCACTTCATTTGTGGTAACCGTTACTAAGTGAGGTTCTGCAGCATTTATAGTATTCATCTTGGCAACTCCAGTTTCTACTTGCTTCAAGTTTGATTTGTGCTTCGCTCCAAATTTCAGCCGAGACTCCTTTGTCGAATTTTTGGTGTTTAAGGGTAGGCTAGTAGGCCTCTTTGGGAGGTTCTGCTGTTTGGGAAGAGGGTAGACCTGAGCAGGCTGAATATCTGGAATTAGGCATGCTTGGCCATTTCCAACTTGCATGAAGTCCTGTTGTCCATTTGCTTCTACTGCCAATTTTATCAGTGGGTACAGCAAACTGGAACTAGTGCTGCTAAGTGGATCTGGCCCACTGAACTGCTTAAGCGAATGCTCCATCAGGTTTTCATCAGAGCTTTCTTTTAAGTTTTTATCCACTTCTTTTGGATCCAGCTTGTTAGTTTCCAAGTCCTCCTCTGTTAGCTGCAGACAAACAGGAGTTGGCCCACATGATTGCATGCCATTTGCAGCACAAATGTTTGTTTCACCTGAATAAGGCATTTCAGATATGGTGGTCATTCCAGTGCTTGGAGTAAGGCCAGTTGTGTTGTTGGTGGTAGTGTTGGTTGACAAGCTGGTAACGCTAGTCTCAGGGCTTGGAATACGAGCTTGTGCTTGCTGCCGTTCATAGTTAATGGAATTTCTGTTCTTCTCCCCAACGGTCAGTGGTGTGCTGGACACTGAAAGTTCAGATGAAATGTTCTTCACTTTGCTGTCACTGTGATTAATTGAATCCTCAATGAAAGATGAGGAAGAATACTCTTGATATGGTCTGATCTTTGCCATTCGTCTATGGTGTGACAGGTTTCTTTAGGGGAAAAAAAAGATAATAGGATTAAGAGTTTCATCTTAAAACCATTTCAATGCAAAAAAGGATATTTTAACCAAGAAGTATAATCATTGGGGGACTATACAAATGGGAGCATTGCAATAGTGCTGATATTTCATGTTTCCATACAAGCTCCTTGATATTCTCCCTTTCTCTTTAGAAGTGGCATGCCTATGTTTTGTTTTGTTTTAAAAAAGCATGGTTATTATGATTTTTTTTTTAAAATCAGTTATTCCATTCTCAGCAATGTTATTAACACAGTTTTTTTTTAAATAGGAAGAGAATGGTATTTTGTAAGTGTTCTTTGTTTCGTTCTTTGGGGCGTAGAGACGAACAAAAATGGGCTATGTGACAATTTAATCGTTAGAGAAGATGGCGGCTGCATCTTTAGTTGCAGTTGCCATCTTCTGAAAGAAGAAAACCTTCTGAAGCACTCTTTCAAAATCTGTAGCATTTAATGAAGCTGCCAGATATGGTTTGGATGAGAGTGCTACATACTTCTGTAAGGATTCTTTAGAGGAAAAGATCCTGCCTGAGGGAATGAAATCCTGCCTGAAGGAATGGAAGATTTCAGAGAAGAATGAATACACATTCCTCAGATGAGGGAATGACACTATTTGCTTCTGATACGACAGAGGGATCACTACAGAGGATTATTCCTTCTTTATGGACCATATACCTGATTTATATGTCAGAAAAAGGTCACTCAATAAAAGCTACTAAGATACAGAGAATATTCTAAGATAAGAGGTTGAAATATAAAAATTCATGCCTATGCAAAGCAGGGGAAAAGAACTCGTTTAGAAAGAAACATCTACAAATGTAATTCCCGCCTTCCTGAGCAATAGAAAAAAATCTTTGCTGGGGTCCTTTTCGTGCCAAATTAAGTATATTTTCAACTCAAACGATGCTATGTATGTCATTAGGTATCTTTCAGAGTAACCACAACTGTATTTAACTGTATATAACTCTTTTTGAAATGCTTTCCTGGATTTATTTTCAGTTTCATACTGAGACAGCCTATAAAAGAAACATAGGTGCAGTTGAAGGTATTTTTCTATGTTTACCTAAAGAGCACCACGATTTCAACACTGCAATACTGAGAGTTCAGGTTCCTTTTTCCAGGTATGTAGCTAATATGCAGCTACTGTATATGTGATAACAATTCTTATGTAATTACTTCAGAAACAAACAATAAATATAGCCTGTGACTCATGAATAATCAGCGCAAGAGGAAGGTATTACTGATCGGAAAAACAGCTTTTTCTATATATGTAAAATTAAGTGCTGGAGAAATGTGATGTTCTTGCAATGAAACCAAATTTTCAAGAAAAGCATGTGCAACAAATGTGGAGCTTGTGTAGATAGATAGCTAGATAGCTAGATGATAGCTAGCTAGCTAGCTAGCTAGCTAGCTAGCTAGCTAGATAGATAGATAGATAGATAGATAGATAGATAGATAGATAGATAGATAGATAGATAGATAGATAGATAGATAGATAGATAGAGAGAGAGATAGAGAGAGAGATAGAGAGATAGAGAGATAGATAGAGATAGATAGATAATCTATCTGATAGATAGATAGACAGACAGACAGACAGACAGACAGACAGACAGACAGACAGACAGATAGATAGAGAGACAGACAGACAGACAGATAGATAGATTAGATAGATGATAGAGAGACAGACAGACAGACAGACAGACAGACAGACAGACAGAACTATATACCGTTCATTTTGCATAGCTGTAGACATAGGGTTAACAGTTGGACTGACAGATTTGTTCCTCTCCCAAATCATCATGAGTTCAGCCATCCTCTCTTCAGCACACTGGGCTGTCAGCCGAGCTTCAGCATCTTGATCCCAGCAGTCTTCGATTGTCTCTTTCAGTGACCTCACAGCCTACCAAAGAAAACAGGATGACATTTTCTCAACCTCTTTTTTTTAACCTTTGTTCTTCAATACCTCTGCTAATGATCAACAGTTGGATCATGTATTACTATTAAAAACATTCAGGTCTAGGAAGAGTAGTATTGGATAAGAGCAAAGGCTTATCCATTCTAACATTGTTTCCCAAAACAACTCACTAGATATTTAAAAGAAATCAGTATGTTGGACAAAAAACTATTCTCTCCAAATATTGTTTTCTTGATATTGACATTCAAAAGTATGCTACCACTGATCATGAAGATTTCATAAATCATGACTAGTTGTCACTAATGTGACAAAACTCTCCATACAAATAAGTAATGGTAAATTTGTCGTTGTTCAACTGTTATGTCGGAATTCAATATATTGGAAAACTGTAATTCTGCGGCTGTTGCCTATTAGTGATCAATGTATAACTAGCATTTTACATTACAAAAATATAACTTATCATAGATACATTACTTTTCTCTTTTGCACTTAAATGTTGGTTACAGCACTTAAAATTCCATAATAACAGTGCTCCATTTCTACATTCACATTCCAACAACATCGTCAACTCAAAAGAAAAAGCAGTGTAGCTTTTTTCTTTTGCTTTTCTTACCAAGCTGTTCTCTTTCCAGGCCTCTGGGAATTTTGGTCTTTGCTTTTCTCTAGAAACAAGGACTTGCATATCTTCAAAAGTGGGGTGGTTTCCAACTTCTATTTGGAATGCTGTTTGGAACTCTGGCACAGATTCTCCTGTTAGCAGAAAAGGGCACGTCAATGTTATCACGAAGCAGAAAAAATAAAACAAAACAGGGTTGATACTGAAACGTTGGAGTCTAACAAAAATGTATTTATTGTATTGTTTCTCCTTACTTCACAGACAAGATTGGATTTGTTAATTTGTACAAGCAGAAAATAAACAAGGAAAAGGTATATAAACAGTTGGAAATATTTTGAAAGTTTTAACTAAACCTAATAATTAAACAAAATTCTTAGTTATTCTATAAACATTTCAAAAGCCTTCTGGTGGCACATTCATGTCCCCTCTACTTTAGGATGCTAATTTTGGAATACCTTTTGAGTTGTATAAATGAAGGAACAGTTCTGTAGTTGTTGTTTTTAATGGTTTATCTTATATATTGTAAATCCTATAGTTCCATATATGTATTTTGGTTGGATGTAAATAACAGGATTTGCATTATGACATCATTTGTGGCTGGGTTATCATTTTCTATTGTGCTCTATTGTATTGCAGAAGTTAGGAGAATTATCCACCCTTTTTTGACAATTCTTGACAAAATATAGGATAAGGAAGGGGGTTTAGAAAAAAACTTTATGTACTTATTGTCCAGTTTCAGGCCTAAATATAGTAATCATATCAAGAATATTATAAGCTTTTCAGTTTTTGAGCCAACTAAGTGTCAATTTTATTTCTTTCCAAACAGACCCCTTACATTTATGAAAATACTTCTACATACTTGGAATATATCATGGAACACGTTTTCTAATGCAGAAAACATTAGCTTAGTTTTAGTGGTCACATTTCAGAATCAAGAAGTTGTTACTGTTATATTTGAAAAAAATCACTAAAAGAAAGATGGTAAAAGTTCAAAAAATTAGGAATAACAATTATTTTTTAAAAAAATTAATGTGACATTTAAAATTAACTACACTCACAGCTAAGCAATAAGCTGCATACAATTTGCATGTGTATGTAGTTTTAGATATATATTAATATATAAGCATTTACAGTCATATTAAAAAAGTCTATAGTATGAACTAGAAGTTTAAATACAGTGACTATAGAAAGTCTACATAGCCCTCAAAAATGCCAGATTTTTGAGTTGTAAAAAAATCAGACCAAGATAAATCACTTCAGAATTCTTTCCACCTTTTATATAACATATAAGTTTTACAGTTCAATTGAAAAACAAACTGAAGTATTTTAGGGAGAAAATGGTACATGGAAGGCAGACTTCAGAATTGAAGCCTTTGATTTTTCATTAGATCTGTCATGTGTCTGATCAACGAAACACTTCAAAGAACCTTCAGGCATTTCAGAGGAAGACAGTATGTGGCCAGTAAGCTGCATACAATCTCTAGTTCCTCCCCCCCACAAACACTTTTTTTCTAGCAAATTGCAGGGCCAAATCTAACTGAAAAACTGAATTAGTGGATTAAATTGCTCCTTTCCAAAAAAAAGAAAAGATTAATAAAGCTCACTCACTTTATTTCAACATATCTCCCTCCACAACCCCCCAAAAGCAGCGATTTGGGGCTCATTCCCAAAATATTCAATGCTCAATATTTAATGCTGATTGAAAAAAGTAATAAAAAGAAGAAACTCTGCCAGCAAAAAGGTTGCCCATCCTGTCTTATATACAGTGCACCACTTGGCAAGTGGTTGGGTTGACAGAATAAACTGAGCCACGCCCTTACCCCAGGAAAATCAAAACGTTATGTACTGAATGTATTGTGCATGGCAGCAGCCATTAGGTCTCATAACTGACCGGTTAAGCATGTTCTTTGAACCCAGCTGGTGACTCAAAGGCTATAGTTAAAATTAAAAAGGATATATGGTGCTTCCAATTATACACCATCCCTAGAACTGATTTTCATTACCGGAACTAAACTATGACATGTATATCAAAGGTGGCATGCCATGATGTTTGGAGTGACATGCCAACGTCTACTACCACCGACAAATATTCTCAAAAGCATGTCTTTCCTTAATACTTAAAGCTTACTGTCAAGATTAACACAGGTTCAAGGTTATTATAAAGCAGAAAGGTGGATACCACCCTGTAACACTAGATGGCACTGAACTAATTTGACAAGCAAAGGAAAAAAGAGTTAAAAGAAAAACCTGACAACCAACATACCCAAATTCTTTACAATAAGGAATTATAGGCTTTGGCTGAGTTAGGAGAGCAATTACAATAAACAAATAGAATAGCTGCTGTAAGTGAAAAAGCATGCTGTATTCCAGTAATTCTTCTATTACCTGGGAAGAGGTCTGTACATCTCATAAAAATCTCCCAGTAGATTAGTCCAAGTGCATACATATCGACTTGCTTCAAAGCTGATTCACAGTCTCTTAAATTTACTGCTCCTTCCAGCACTTCAGGGGCCATATAGCGAATTGTCCCAACCTGTAAAGACACGTTGTTGCATTCTTACATTGGCCTGGTATTTATGAAATACTGTTCACTGTTCTTCAAGTAATTCAACAGGAATTTTTTTAGTTACATTCATTTTCATCCTCAAGACAGCATTAATATAAGCATAAAGCTTCCTTAAGACCCATTCTGTGGAATCCCAATCTTATTATTTGCATTTAAAATAATGTCTGATCTTTCCAACATATTTTATTTTGTAATTTAGTCAACATAAACTCTTATGAAAAAACCCCTGGTGAAACTTAGGAAAAATTCTTTAAACAAAAGTCCAATAAAAAGAGGTGAAAGTTGCATGTTAAACAAATAAATAAAATGTTAATCAAAAAATGTTAAAATTCTATGCTTATCTATGCCCTCACTAATCAACAATCTTTAAAAAAAATCTTAATCTTTGCATAATATAAATTGGAAAAATTACATAATGTAAACTACAATTTTAAAACTGTAGTCTTGTGGAGCATTCTTAATTTTTAGGAGTATCCTTAGATTATTGAGTTGGGAACAAGAAAGAATAAAAAGAACTCATTCTTTTCTTGATTTTTCCCATTCAGCTACAGATTTTCTTAGATAATCATCTGAAGAAAGTTTTAACTCTCCTCATCTTTCAAATTAAACTCCCTGCAATACTAAAAAAAACAGATTAGCCTATGCAAAGTACTAACCGATATTTGTTTATCCTAAGGAAATGTACCTCACCCATTAACCTAGTGATCATGCCATCTTTCCATGCTCCCCATGTCAATCTCTTTTGTGTTTGGAAACAGAAAAAAATCTTCTGTCTTCCACTTCAGATTTGATTAGTAGTCAGGCAACCTGAAGCTGGCAAAAATACCTACAGCAGTATGATGCAGGCTAGTAAGATACATTTGTTGTGTAAAGTATGAGCAACTAAAAGTGTTTCAAGTTGGCTTTCTCACTTCAGAATATATTTAAGAAAAGAAAATCACTCTTGCCTATGAAAATCAGAATAAGAAAGATATATTTGAAGCTCATTGTTCTTTTTTTCTGAAAGCAGATATGGTAAATATTTTTTAGTGTTTAAATCCACTATTCTTAAAACAGATGAGTAAAACTTATGATAGGTTTTGGTGTCAACATTTCTGAGGTTCGTGAGGGGACTTCCAAAATGTATTTTTCTGTTTTACTCACCTCACTAATTGCAGCATTATCCTCCTCACCTGGGCGCACCAGTCTATTTCCTGTTAGCTTCATGGAGAGGCCAAAATCACTAATGACACACGTTCCATCATTCTTTACTAATACATTGCGGCTGTTCAAATCACGATGGGAAATAGCAGGCTTATAATGATCTGTTTGAATATATAAATTACATTGTTTTACTATTCCCACTGGCTTCTTTGCATATAAAATAAAACAGAGTATGGGCACTTCAAGAAAACTGATAACACTTTGAGCAAATGAAAACTCTTTTATAGTATCAATTTTATGATCCTCTTGTGATGGCAATTCAGGTATATGTAACTAAACAGGAATTGTTAGGAACAACTATTAAAGAATGCCATAATTACATATCAATTAGGAATACATGAAATCTTCATCAGTGATTTGGGAACTCATCAAATTTGCAGACGACAGCAAGCTGGCAGGAATAGCCAACACTCCAGAAGACAGGCTTAAGATACAGAAGGACCTGGACAGACTTGAACACTGGGCGCTATCTAACAAAATGAAATTCAGTGGTGAAAAAAGTAAGGTTCTACATTTAGGCAAGAAAAACCAAATG